TTCTATTAGAGAGAGGAAGGAAAAAGGATTTAATTATACTAATTCAGAAACTATTATCTCTCAATATAGCTTATTAACCCCTTATCAAAATAAGACTAATTCTGTCAGGATTGGTAGCAAAGCTTAAAGGACAAAAGCAAATATCCTACAGAATTATTGATTTCCCATCAGATTTAGGCAAAACAAATTTTTTTTCATTTTCTCTTGCTTTCTCTCTTACCAAGTCCCAGACTTCTCAAAAGGGTTGGAGTTCCCTCCCCCTCATTCTCAAAAGACATCAGCAGTCTACACATTTCACTAACATTTTAGAAGTGAGCTAGTGCACTGGAAGTACAGAGAAATGCTAATTTAGGAAAGCAAATCTCAGAAATATGTTTCAAAGTAGCAGCACAAGTGTCCTAGTTCTCAAAAATAGAAACACTGTTTGACAATTTTGCCTCCTATAAAGAGCCTGAAGCTTTAGCTGCTCATCATCTCCATAAAAAAAAAAGCCATGTCAATTTTTACTCAACTTTTTCCTATTTTAGCTTAGGGGGAATGTGATAAGTTATTTCCAGGAAGACATAATAGAAATCAGTTATTTTTTGCAGTTTTGCCTCATAATGAGGTACACACACATTCTACTCTTCACACTAAGCTCCTACATCACACTGATGTCAAACATGACCTCAAGTACCAGTCATCAGCTGGGGTCTACTGGCAACAAATGGGAAGGTTTGAATCCATTTATCAGCTCATCCTATTTCTGCAACAAAATCCCAGCCTGAGAACTCCACCTGATCAAAGGCAGCCCCACTGACTCCCAGGCTGTCTCCTGCTGCTCCTCCCAAGCCCACACAGCATCTCTGCAGTCAGAGCTGTGCACACACCCCTGCTCAGAGCACGAGCAGCTCGCTGCTGTCACCAGCAGGGAAGGCCAAAGCTGGGCTCAGATGCTGCAGTGTTTGTCTCAGCTGCCAAAGCAAACACCACTAATGAACAGAAGGGCAGAGCAGGGCCACAGCAAAACACCAGCCTACATGTGAGCTCTAAAACACATCATCCTGCACTACCAGCAGTAATTCATATGCCACACTTTATTCACAAGGTGCTGCTGCAATACAAGTGGTGTGAAGACTGCTGAAATGAAAGCATAATGTTTTTGAAAGAACTAATCTCAAGTATGCAGGATATTTGATTTATAAGTGAAAAGTAAGAATTGGATCATGAGAACGGTTGAAAATCTTTCCTTCTGCAGGGCAGCCACAACCAGTGACTGTCTTTACACTCTCAGGCCTGCACCAAAGCAAGGTCTAAAAGCCACAACAGATCTGTTCACACCCAGCACCATAACCATCTATCCCAAATGCACAGGGGACACAGAACTGTAATGACATTCTTACTAAAAGCCTCCCACCATCATATTGCCAGTGCAAGAGATGCTGGTGTGCACAGTTCGTACCATCAAAACACAGAAACAAGTTTGTCCTACATTGAACATCCCAGGGTGTTCACACAGCAGGGAACTATGCTCCCTGAAAAAACAGGTGCATGCAGGCCACTCTCAAACTTATTTTGGTGCTTTGACTATTACAGTGCTCAAAAGCAGAATGACCCAGTTGCAAGGAGACAGTTTCAAACGTGCAAGCCAGTTCTCCTGTTTAAATACAGTTTTAATGAACATCAGTCCAAGAGATCACTTGATAGTATGAGGTACATTCCTTGACCACATATGGCTGTGCTTAAGGAAAAGGACAAACATATAATTAAATTAAATAGTGTAATTTAATTTAGTAGCAGTTTAATTAACATCAAGTTAAAAAAAAAATCATAATTAACTATTAACATTAGTGACTTGAGACCTTTTAGAAAGCATGAGTCCAAAAGGAAACATCCACAGGTGGTCACAGACTTGTAGTGTTTCCACCAGCACTGCCACCTGCACCAGTCTCTTAAAGGACTATTTGTTCAATGAAGAAATTGGTCTTCAGTCTGTAACAGGAATCCTGGCTCCGCTACTTTGTGTGGTCTTCCAAGAGATACACAATTAACTCGTAGGTGGACAAGACAATGGCTGTGTTTGGTATCTGCCTGATGAGCTGGGCAAAGAGTCCTCTGTAGAAGGCCAGGTAGCCCTCTTCCCGTGCCACCAGCCGAGCTGTCTGGATGAAAGTCTTGTACTTGGTGCCTTCCTCTCGCAGCCGTGTCCGGATGACCTCTGCACAACAGGGAACCAGAGCCCAGAGTTACCAAGGAGAAATGTGCCAGCACAGGAAAGCTCCTGTGTGCAAACCCCAGGGACACACAAACCTTCTGTAGCCAGGAAGCCTGGACACACTGCCCTTCAGGCAAGAGGAAGAGTTAAAGTGGAGCTCTCTTTCATGTGGAATAAATAAATGATTTTCTCATTGAAGCTAATACAGATCTAAATGCTTTACTGATGCTCACATAATCAATATTGCTGCTTCTACACAACCATACCGTTCACATCTATCCAAACAGACTAACACCATTCAGTCCCCAAGTGCTTCCCACAGCCTGATCACAAAATCCCAGAGGCTGTGGGTACTTACCCAGCTGAGGCTACTAGTGAGAACAGAAACATTAGGCAATCATTTTTTGGTGGTTTTTGAGTTGTTTTTAAACTAGCAAGTCCCAATCACCAACCACATGTCTAACTAGGAGTAGTGGGACCAGAACTGAAAATGCCAGTGCAGAAGCCAAAGTAATGTGCACTTGGCCCTTGGAACAACTAAGAGTTTTACAGCCCATCATTTGTCTTGGATT